AACGCAAGATTGGGAGTAAATGACTTCTCAATATTTATTATGACTCTTCAAGCCAGATTAATTTTTAATTCTCAAGGTGGCCGTTGTGTGCGCGTGGAACGCGTGGGAAAGTTTACAATCACACTTCCTCTATGAACACCAACTAACCAAAACAAATATTGTTTATATGTGCACGCTTTTTGCTCATCCTCGCTTTTCAGGAAAGGATAACCGCTAGCACGCAGTAGGCAATCTGGTCTCATAAAAAAAATTATATTAAAATGTAATACCCACCAGACGCAGGGCATACACTAAACTGATGTTCTGGCTAAGTAACTCATAAACTGAATCATAGACTTCCTGTACACTTACATACATTGTTAATTAATAAGGACCTGCTCAGCTCCATAGCTCCCAATTAATCTCGAAGATAACCGAGCTGAAACTTCGCATACATTTTTATGTTTTTCACAATTTTATTCAGAATGTGATGTTGGCATCTTGTCATAGGAACAGTGTAGACCTGTGTGTTATGGAATGGCCTGCAGAAAATGACTTCACGGAACAATTTCTGAATCCCATTCAAACGACCGTTTTTCATACATACAATTGGGGACACACTTTCCCCCATATCCTACTCCACAGAAATATTTTTCATGGCAGTCAAACCAATTTTAAGTTCTCAAAACAAAATTAAGTGGAAAAAAACTAACGTTACTGTAATGGTATTTTTCGCGCGCAATCTTCGGTGACCAGGCTGAGACGATCAGCTCACAACACTTGAGACCCCAATATTACACAGGATCTTAGCAGCGCGGCTCAGTGCTCTGATCAATAAGCTAACGCCAACACATCCTCTCCTAAGTTTTGCAAAAAAACACAGTAGCTGCCCGCGCTGTGCAAAAAACTGCGCGAATTCGAGCCACCATTGACGGGTCCTCGATATCGAGTCACTTTCAAGTTTGTGCTCTCCACCTCTCAAGCACAGGAGCCTAGCAGCGAGGTCAACAGCTTTTTTAATTAAGTGTTGATGCAGCCTCCTCGCAATGGTTTCTCAAAAGAGTCACTATTAAAGAAATCGTCCATTGGAAATTCAGTCAGTGTCAGCGAGTGGGTGGAAGAGCACGGAGCGCCAGCAAGGATGCCTCCTTTATCTAATTGCATTCATATGACATCCAGATCTTTCTTCACACTTACTGGTGCATATCTACCATGTGCTTTGAGGCTTGGAACTACTTTAAGATAATTCCTTCCTTATAAATTGAACTAATTGTGCATTTAAAAAGAAACTGTAATGTTTCAGATGATACTTTTTTTAGGCTTTCAAAAAAATTATCGTCAATTAATAGCTCACCGACAATCAGACCTAGGGTCAATGATAACCATAGTTATAACAGCATTGTTACATGAACTTACAATGTAATTGTATTTAATTACGAATCACAGAATTAACTTTTTTTATTGGAGCCCAGGTCTGTCGGCAGTGACATGTTTTATGAAAATAACTCTCAGAGTAGATACTCAACCAAATCTATAAATATGCATATAAACAATAATGCAATTTCTAACGTGCACATTATTATGCGGATATAACTGCCCATGGCTCTAAGGCAAGGAACCAAGCAGAGTGTCACGTGAAAGCCTGGCAAAAGACGCCTTTTAGTGTCTTCTAAAGTTCGATATAAACTTAATACTGCGAATGTGGAACGGCACAGAAGTTCCAGATGGATGGAATTGCCATGGAAAAACGGCACCTGACAGTCCTGGTCCTTGATGTATTGAGGAGGTTGTGTCTCATGTTGCGGAGCGTTCTGAATAAACACTGTACAGAAGTTGTTTTTCAAACTTATAACACTTCTCCCAGACTTAATAAAAAGACAAGCTTCATAATGCTGGTCCGCAACACGCCTCTCTCCAGTTCCCATATCCTTTTTTTATGCGAAGAAGAGCAAGGCCTACAAAAGGGGGAAGTGTCCCTGACAGAGAGGGCCCAAACGCAACAGGCATCTGCCGCGTTCTTCCTCAACAGCTTTCTCCGCGAATCCCCGAGGATTATTGTACAATGCCTGGAAAGAGGCTCTGTACAGGCCGCACAGATTTAAGCCAAAGCCAAAACAAAATCACCAGCCACCTTTCTAATTCACAGAAACAAAAACAGCTCATTCAATATATGCCGACAGTACCAGTCTACCCGATTATAAGTAAAAACCAAAACAGTGCATGCTTTGTGTATTATATAAATACTCTTACGTTTGATGGAATCCAAAACTATTATTTTGCTAGGTTAAACATCATCTCACGAAAAAAACAGAGACAAGCGGTGAAAGTAGTGGAAAGCTAAAAGCACCCAGGAGAGAGGAGAATTAAGAATCTAACATCAGCAACTCTTGACACCAGGGTCCCCCCCCCACCTCACACCCAGGGGTGGGGGCACACACATTCCCGTCATGCTCCAAACCTTTGCCTGACCCCGGCATTAGAACAGTGGTCTGTACGTATGTGTGTTGAACTTCATTCGCACCGCACGTAGCCAAGCGTACGGTGAGAAAAGAAGTTCAACAACACACATGGTCTGCACAACAGCCAGAACAGCAGACAGCAGCAGCAACACATCACGTTCCGTGACTGCTCGCTGTGTTCTGCGAGGAACAACGCCGACAGAAGATTATTATCTGTGTGCACAATCAGCACGGCACTGTCTTCAACAATGCGTTCTAATTTGATTCTCTTCATGTTTTGTTCCCAGAAAAAAAAAACATTCAAGACCTTTTGAAACCATTCGCCTTTTTCATTACAATTGCCTTTTATTTAAGGAATGCATCTCTTTGCAACATCACGGCCACTGTTCGTAGTAACCTTCCTTCTGAGTTATCCAAATAAATAATTAAACGTACACAAAGCATGTTTGGTGTACAGGATAATTATTTGCGCCAAGGATATGTTTTCAAAACAAAAGGTCAAGCCCCAAAACTTTTTTTTAACAGCGTCACCGCTTGAGATTTCCTCAGCCGGCGTTTTGTTATCATCTCGCCTATAGTCGCCTGTTCTCAATGCCGAATGCCACAAGGTTTGGCTGTCAACACATGCCTCTGGACTCCTGTTTAATTATAGAACAGCGGCGGGCACAACACACACACACAAGCCCACGGGAATATGACAGGGGTCCGACTGACCTTGAGAAGCCCTCTGTGGGTCCACTCAGCGGCCTGCAGAAATCTTCAAAAGACTCAATCCATCCCAGCGAAGCCTTCAACACCGACCCCCATAGTCCTCTCCCCCCACCCCCACGCCAACTCTCACCTCATTCCCTGAGTTCCCCAGTCTCCCCCCCCCCACCTCTCCTCTACTATCACCGTGAACCCACACCCCCTCTCCCTACTGCCCCTCTTTCTCCAGGCCTCAAAACATTCTCGCCCACAGCCGTCGCTCACTCCCCCGCACGCCCCACCGCAGCTCCCACCCAACCACTGCAATTTGTTCCCCTTTGTGTGGGGCCGGCGGGGGCTGGCAGCCAGGAGCGGGCGGCAGGAGACGACGGGATTGTGTGGCGCGCCGCGCGCGGCGTGACTAATGCACGCCAATTGGCCCCGTGCGCCACGAGGAGCGCACGCTCTCATTATTCCCATTCGCGTACCGCATACAAGGAATGGGACTCTCTTCTTGAAGGACAGTTTTTTGGGGGGTTCTAAATGAAAAAAAAAATTCGGTCGAGATTTTTCCGTAGAGGTTTGGAGAGGGAGGGATGGAGGGAGGTGTCCAATTTTTTTTTTAAAAAGGCATCCTTTTGAAAGAAAAAAGTGCAACTAATAATGCTTTTTTTTCCGTGGCAGCTGCGTGCGTTCCAAAAAAATTCAAGTCAGACCAATTCAAATTAGCATTCACGTACAATATTGATTTTACGATGCTTAGAAAATCCATAAGCGCACGAAAAAGTGAAATATTTTACTTATTATTAAGGAAAGTTTCACCAAATATATGATCCAGAAGCAATCGATGCCAGAGACATCGATTTATTTTAATTCATGTAGAGGTAATTATTGACAACAGCCGTATGTAATTCAATGGTCATTCTCAGAGGAGGTGACCCATCGGTGTGTACGTTGCTTACTAATAATAACAGCAAGGCAGTTCGAAGTCTATTAAATGATTGCACGAATATTTTTTGCTGAGTGAATAATTTTTTCAACACTGAATTAACACAGCAAACCCCAAGTCGGAGAATCCAGGAGTGGTTTACAATCACTGCAGTGGCTTGTGCTACTGTATGTTAATACTATACTTGTCACATCTAAGTGCTGCTCCTGCAACTTTAATTACTACTTCGAATGGGCCCTGAAATGTGGAGGCATCAGCTGCCGCTCACCCACAGCAACGTCTGTGGCAGCACCAGACTGTAAGAGGCTAATTCTTCCGGATTCTTGGCTTCACAAAACGTAGCATCCCGTCACAAACACTGAGCAACAAATAAACCACCACAATGGCTAATTCCCACAGGGTAGTGTCATGCACTTGAAGTTTCGCCTGCCCATCTGCTTTGCCTAAGCCCTGCTCCTGGTGTGTGGACTGTGCATGAGCGCGTTGGGTCTCGCGCTCACGCGTCCACCCAGAGCGACCTGTCCGTTGGTTTGTGAAATCCGGGGGCTGACAGGTGTCAAATTAACAACGTTACGTTAATTTGAAGTTTATTTTTCATGAGACAGGGCTCGTATGCTGTGGCTGTGAGGGTGGGGGGGGAATACAGAGAAGTGTGAATTACTACTGCGTTAGGTTTTCACGGTGATGCTGTATAGCCGGCTCTGCGATGTGTTTTCAGGTTGTACAGTCTTGTTGTTTGACAATCTCTTAGAAAGTGTCAGATTCATTTCCTGAATAAGCTCTCATCACGTCGAGTGAAATGTAAAATAGAATAGCTGAACTACATTGAGCGCTTTCAAGGGTCATCGGATGAAATTAATTGCCCTCTCGCATAGCTGCATATGAATTAATCATATATATTTTTTAATTTCCGAGAGAAAACTCACCAGGCAGCGTGGAATTAATGCAGTCCCAGAATCCAATCTGAAATAGAACAAAGCACATCAAATCCGTTAATATCAAAGCTGTGGTTCTCGGAAAACACTTCACCTTGTTTACGGTACACTTTATTATCATGAAAAATATGCACACAGATGCTTAATTTATGCATGGGAAATTAAGTCTGGCTTAATTGTACAACTCAGACGAGGGCAAATTATAGTCACTTAAAACCCAGCTTCCGTAAGTTCTAGGCCAATCGACCCATTGCCAATGTAAAATATGTGTTACAATATATTGGGCTTACATATCCTGCACCGACACAGGGCTCATGATTATTTGCCATTGCCAACAGACAACGAATGCAGCCACATTCAAAATCCACCATTCTGATGCGGCGATGTACTTCAAGCAATAAAATATCCAGTCGACACTTTTCCGCTGAACTCACTCCCTGGATTAAACCTCCAATGTTTAATCTGCATCTCCCAAAGCTCTTGATTGGATATCAAAACTTAATGTCATATTGTACAACGTTGCTTTTCCTGAGGTACAGTACATATCTATAATACAAAGCAACGAGCATTTCAGACCACTAATTATAACACGTGTGTCCCCAATTTTGATTATTTGACCATACTTGGGCAGCATAAACGTGAGCATAAAAAGTACAGCACTGGATTAGAGGACGACCGAAACTGAATTTCTGGTTTCGGCTGAAACCGAAACCAGAAACCGAAAGTTAAAAATTCACTTTCGGCCGAAAACCGAAGCCGAAACCGAAAGTTCAACTGCACTTTCGACCGAGATCGAAACAGAAAGGTATATAACCGAAGTTACCCAACACAATATTTATGAAATATGTTATGATGCAATGCTACTTTAATTAAAAATAAATCTAGAACTAATCATTCAGAGCCTGCAGTACAGTGAGGGAAAAAAGTATTTTATCCCCTGTTGATTTTGTACGTTTGCCCACTGACAAAGAAATGAGCAGTCTATAATTTTAATGGTAGGTTTATTTGAACAGTGAGAGACAGAATAACAACAACAAAATCCAGAAAAACGCATGTCAATAATGTTATAAATTGATTTGTATTTTAATGAGGGAAATAAGTATTTGACCCCCTCTCAATCAGAAAGATTTCTGGCTCCCAGGTGTCTTTTATACAGGTAACGAGCTGAGATTAGGAGCACACTCTTAAAAGGGAGTGCTCCTAATCTCAGCTTGTTAACTGTATAAAAGACACCTGTCCACAGAAGCAATCAATCAATCACATTCCAAACTCTCCACCATGGCCAAGACCAAAGAGCTCTCCAAGGATGTCAGGGACAAGATTGTAGACCTACACAAGGCTGGAATGGGCTACAAGACCATTGCCAAGCAGCTTGGTGAGAAGGTGACAACAGTTGGTGCGATTATTCGCAAATGGAAGAAACACAAAAGAACTGTCAATCTCCCTCGGCCTGGGGCTTCATGCAAGATCTCACCTCGTGGAGTTGCAATGATCATGAGAACGGTGAGGAATCAGCCCAGAACTACACGGGAGGATCTTGTCAATGATCTCAAGGCAGCTGGGACCATAGTCACCAAGAAAACAATTGGTAACACACTACGCCATGAAGGACTGAAATCCTGCAGCGCCCGCAAGGTCCCCCTGCTCAAGAAAGCACATATACATGCCCGTCTGAAGTTTGCCAATGAACATCTGAATGATTCAGAGGACAACTGGGTGAAAGTGTTGTGGTCAGATGAGACCAAAATGGAGCTCTTTGGCATCAACTCAACTCGCCGTGTTTGGAGGAGGAATGCTGCCTATGACCCCAAGAACACCATCCCCACCGTCAAACATGGAGGTGGAAACATTATGCTTTGGGGGTGTTTTTCTGCTAAGGGGACAGGACAACTTCACCGCATCAAAGGGACAATGGACGGGGCCATGTACCGTCAAATCTTGGGTGAGAACCTCCTTCTCTCAGCCAGGGCATTGAAAATGGGTCGTGGATGGGTATTCCAGCATGACAATGACCCAAAACACACGGCCAAGGCAACAAAGGAGAGGCTCAAGAAGAAGCACATAAAGGTCCTGGAGTGGCCTAGCCAGTCTCCAGACCTTAATCCCATATAAAATCTGTGGAGGGAGCTGAAGGTTCGAGTTGCCAAACGTCAGCCTCGAAACCTTAATGACTTGGAGAAGATCTGCAAAGAGGAGTGGGACAAAATTCCTCCTGAGATGTGCGCAAACCTGGTGGCCAACTACAAGAAACGTCTGACCTCTGTGATTGCCAACAAGGGTTTTGCCACCAAGTACTAAGTCATGTTTTGCAGAGGGGTCAAATACTTATTTCCCTCATTAAAATGCAAATCAATTTATAACATTTTTGACATGCGTTTTTCTGGATTTTGTTGTTGTTATTCTGTCTCTCACTGTTCAAATAAACATACCATTAAAATTAGACTGATCATTTTTTTGTCAGTGGGCAAACGTACAAAATTAACAGGGGATCAAATACTTTTTTTCCCTCACTGTAAGAGTCGCTAAATATCAAATCTTTAGGTGTTACTTACTTAGTAATTATATCCAAACAAACTATAGTTAAGAAACAACAGTTTTTCCGCATTGAGCCAGACAGGCTGCCGTCTGTTGACCAGTCGTATCTACATTAGCAGACCATGGTTGTGGCTGTAACCTCGCTCCCAAGCTGCTGCTGCTGACGTGTATGTGTTTGTGTGTGTGTACGTGTGTTTGTGTGTGTTGTGTGTGTTGTGTGTACGTGTGTTTGTGTGTACGTGTGTTTGTGTGTGTACGTGTATGTGTGTGTTTGTGTGTACGTGTGTTTGTGTGTGTTGTGTGTACGTGTGTTTGTGTGTGTTGTGTGTACGTGTGTTTGTGTGTACGTGTGTTTGCAGCCTATCGCATAGGATTGCCTAGCGCCGACTGACCGGCCGATAGACAGAGTGATAGACGTAGCATTAGCATTATATTCTAAAAATAGATCTTCGGTTGACGAATGACGACCGAACGTCAATATCAGTTTCGGCCGAAACCGAAACCAGACCGAAAGTAAAAAAAATACTCTTAATTTGAAGCTTTCGGGACTGCAGGAATCCAAAAGTAAACCGAAAGTAAAAGAAAGAGGCAATTTGACAACTTTCGGCACCGAAACCGAATTTCGGTCGGCCTCTACACTGGATGTTTCCTCTCAATACACATATCCCCGCAGCAGCCGACAACAACCTGGCGTGTATGGTGGTCGCCCATTCAAGCACTATCCAGGCTCAACACTGCTTAGCTTACTAGATCTGACGATAACCAGGAGCATTCTGGGTGACCTGGTCATCGGAAATTGTAGCATCGTGCAGAATAAACAAATATTATTTCGGAAGTTAGGAAGGTCATAAGAGCTTGCATCAAGCGACAATGGGAATGATTCCAAAGCCGAGCAACGCAAGGGAAGGAGAAAAAATACATTTATCCTGCAATACGAATTTATTCAACCTGAACAAAAGCGCAGCAGCTAATATCATACCTATAAACGTATTTTTTTGTCTGTGTCCGTCCGTCTGTCTGCGCACGACTGCTTGCGAGGGATTTCGCTCTCAAACGGTGGGGTGTTAGGTCGAAAATTTTTTGCCAGGCAGCACGCCGTAAGCCCCGCGGTGGGCAAGCACTACGCCGTGTTCCCGTCACTCGCCTTAAAAATAGTTAAAATTGCGTTTTTTGGCGATTTTTCTTATTTTTCTATTTAGTTTTTGCCGCCCGCCGTGGGGCAAAGCACGCAATTGCGCATGCGCAAAACGCTGACAGGAGTTGCCCCTAGCAACGCACACACGATCACTAAAATTGTTTTATTCGCGTTAACAATGCTTAAAAAATATACACACAACGCTGAGGTTCATTCTTCACAGTCTAATGTCCTCCACAACCAACCCCAATGCGTGCAGTTACTGATATAAAGTCCGTAGATATTAATATTATAGCGCTTACTTAGCATTATTGCAGCACGGGTGGGGAGAAGCGGCCCAGCCTCCGGCCTGGCAATGTGTTACCTCCTCCGGCTGGGTAATCTAGGCGAGGCCGCGGGCTCTGCACGGGACTAGGCCTCTCCACGGCAATGTAAGTACAATTTTATTGAATCTTTCGCTAAGAACTCAGGTTCATTGTTTCCTATTATGAAACTAATAAGTTGGCAAAATATTACAATAATAATGTTTGTGTGCGGAAAAACTAATATTTCATTATTTGGTTGCTAAATATTTCCTTTTTTAGCCGTGTTTTTATGACGCTGCGACGGTGTACTGCCAGTCTGTGCTGTGGCCTGCTGGGGACATCCTCCACGGATCTCAATGTCAACTTTTCTGATGTCATCTTCAACCAGACGCTCATCCTTGAGGACAAACTGCACTCCATTGGTGGAAAAGACCTCACGTCTATGGGACTACCAACACCCTACAGGGACAACCTTCATGCCCTTGCTCAAGAGATCCTACGTGAAATAGGCCATCATGCTTTACAGCTTCGTAAATTTATTTAGGAAAATTAACCAAAGCTAATGGGTGCACAACTAGAAGCCTACACGAAAATCTTGGAACACATTGAGACTACAAATCGAGTCTTTTTTTTGTCCTCGATGCACCTGCCAGTACTGGGAAGACTTTTTGTTTTCAAACTGCTCCTCGCTAAGGCTCGCCAGAGAGAAGATTGCTCTAGCTGTGGCATCATCGGGGATTGCTGTGTAAGTCGATGTGTGTGTGTTTGAGTCGATGTGTGTGTGTGTTTGAGTCCATATGTGTGTGCGTTTAGGTCCATGTGTGTGTGTAAGTCGATGTGTGTCTGTCTCTTTTTTGCCCGGGCAACGCCAGAAAAGAGATTGGCTCCTGTCATAGGAATGTGGAATTATCACCACAGATTCAGAGGCACCAACAGTGATGACTATCACTCATTGCTAATTTGAGCATAGAAGCACAGACTTTGACTTCACTATTGCAGAAAACTCACTATTCTGTAAAAACTATTTGTTAGTTCATAGCAATTGAGGGGGTACAGACGAAGGCATTGTGGAATAGTCGAGTTGCAATTCGGACAATGTTAAATTCTCTCAGGACTGCTGGATCTTGGCTCAGAGCAGACATGTAACGTGTGTAAAAACATATAAAAGTAGCAACTTTAGAAACTTCCGCACTTTATTATTTCAAGGAACAAAGCATTGGAGCATTTGTTTTTATTCACTGTATATGCCTACGTACTGTAGTAGGCATGTGAACTCTGTAGCACTGGCTCCAGTGGAAACAAATGGACATGGACACTGCCCACCCCATACGTGACTGACGAGGACAGTTTTGACTTGAGGCATTTTATTTAATTCAAAATAATAATACAAACTCGTGTATCGGTTAATTTCACGCGTATGACTGAAATGTATTTAAAACTCATGACATTTGTAAGTGTCGGGTTGTTCAAAACTGCCCGAAAAAGATCGCGTCCAAATTATTTGAACAACAGCACATCTTCAATTGCCTAACGATGACAACGGCGCTGTTTTTTTATACTCAGAATCCTGCGCTGCCAATCCAATAACTGAGCCAGAGCCAAGAGTAAGTGACTGACTTCACTCGGGCTGGCCCGTCCAAAAATAGCAGAGTGAAATCCTCCACATTCTAAATGGCCACATGCACAAACAAGCGGTGTTTTCTTAAAGAGACCACTGCTCCCAGCTCACCCAGCAGCCTCTCACAGGCAGTGGTGGGGGGTGAAGCAGCCAAAGGAAGAGAGAGATTGCCTCACGAGCTCCATCCAGTGCACTGTAGCCAACAGAGGAAAGGTTCTGCAGGCAAAGGCTGTAAGCTAAAGTGCTACTATTCTAGCATCAGCCTCATTGAGATCTCATTTGCCCGCGATAGCAAGCGGTCTCCTCTGTGAGGGGGACCCTTCATGGGGGCCGCCGGTGGCACAAAGCTCGCCTGCAGGAGGGCCAGAGGCTGGCACCCGCTGCCAACGGCTGTGGCCATTTCATCGCCACGCGTGTCAATGGCCCGCGTGACGATCGTGCCGCCGCAGGAGACACGGCGTTTAACCGAGAGGCAAAAGTTCAACGAACGCGAACACCAGCTTTAGGCGGCAACGAAAGGGTTCATGTTTACCTGTGTCGTTTTGGAAGCTATGCAAATCTCAAGGCGAGAAAAAACTCGCCTTCGTTGTCGCGTGGCCACAATTACAACGAGCCAGCGTGATAATGCCCTGGTCGGGTTGAATGAAAACTGGATGCGACGCCTCAAACGAGACGTTTCGGTGCATTTGAACGCACGGGTGCTGCCATCCGTGCACGCGTGCCTTATGAAACACGGGCACTGTCATTGCTGCGCGCGTGAAAGATTGTTATTAGCGAGCGTGGCATCTGCCACTTGCACGTCCCCGCAGCGTTCGCGTGAGACACAGACGCGCACGCGCGCGCGTGATTCACCGCGGCGTTTGGCATTCGCTGAATGCAAATCCCCAAGCGAGAAAACGGCAAAGTGCACAGGGAGGCGACCCAGCTAAGACGACACCAGCACTGAGTGATTGGCAGCACAATGGCGGCTATTATGTCGAGCCAACAATGGCTGGTAAGAACAAAAATAACAGCACGACTGCACAATGGTTCAATTCTCTCCACCATCTCCCTTCTCGTCTCCCCCCGTCCCCACCTCCATTCGAATGCCTCTTTCGAGCTATTTTTGAACGCCTTCCATAATCTCGCGATGCCAGGGAGTGGGGAACTCTTGCATGGCCCGGATATCGCAGACAGCTCAGGAATCTAAAATCCGCAAACAATAACGCAGCTCATGGTTTGCTAATGATCTTCCTTTGCTGAATAATTGCACATTACCAGACATGCATTCATAACTTATCCGTGCGTAGTCATTGTATACAAACTCAAGATACCCTCAATTAAGCGTGTAACTATATGCTATGTTTAATTACGAATACATGTTTGTCGTTGAGTGCGTATACACTAATGCATGTGCTGAAGACGCACAATCCACCGTTGTTATCACTGTGTTTATCAAATACAATGGGGAATTGATTATTATTCTGTGTAACGATGTCTGTAACCTATACATACAGTATTTATATATTCACATTCTTGGAAAATGTTCACTGTAAGAACGGTTTACAGATAGTAATGTAAATTTTCACATACCCCGGGCATGGAGTGTGACTATGAATTAAATATATCCCTGTAGGGTCACCAATGTATCTTTAGCCAAAGTAAGATTACACTCAGGCTCTATTAACTGTAGCAAATGCAGGAAACTATGAAACATTCCAAAGTATGTCAACGTAGAGTACTGTGAACAAAACATTCTCGACTGCACGAATACCTCGAAGTAAGAATTATCCAATTGAATACGCGCTCTTATTATTAGAGTAGGAAATGATACATGGGGGGGGGGGGTGATAAAATGACTAGTAACGCACTAAAAACAATGATACATTTTGGGGGGGTGATAAAATGGCAAGTAACGCACTAAAAACAATGATACATTTTGGGGGGGGGGGGTGATAAAGTGGCCAGTAACGCACTAAAAACAATGATACATTTAGGGGGGGGGGGTGATAAAATGGCAAATAACGCACTAAAAACAATGATACATTTTGGGGGGGGGTGTGATAAAATGGCTAGTAACGCACTAAAAACAATGATACATTTTGGGGGGGTGATAAAATGGCAAGTAACGCACTAAAAGCAATGATACATTTTGGGGGGAGGTGGTGATAAAGTGTCCAGTAACGCACTAAAAACAATGATACATTTTGGGGGGGTGGTGATAAAATGGCCAGGAACGCGCTAAAAACAATGATACAGTTTTTTTTGGGGGGGGGGTGATAAAATGGCTAGTAACGCACTAAAAACAATGATACATTTGGGGGGGTGGGTGGTGATAAAGTGGCCAGTAACGCACTAAAAACAATGATACATTTTGGGGGGGTGGTGATAAAATGGCCAGTAACGCACTAAAAACAATGATACATTTTGGGGGGGTGGTGATAAAATGGCTAGTAACGCAATAAAAACAATGATACATTTTGGGGGGGGGGGGGGGGGGTGATGATAAAATGGCCAGTAACGCACTAAAAACAATGATACATTTTGGGGAGGGGTGCTGATAAAACGGCTAGTAACGCACTAAAAACAATGATACATTTTGGGGGAGGGGTGATAAAATGGCCAGTAACGCACTAAAAACGATACATTTTGGGGGGGTGATAAAATGACAAGTAACGCACTAAAAAAATTATACATTTTGGGGGGGGGGGGTGGTGATAAAATGGCTAGTAACGCACTAAAAACAATGATACATTTTGGGGGGGGTGGTGATAAAATGGTAAGTAACGCACTAAAAACAATGATTTACAGGTCATTGTCAATCCACTGCTGGATGAACACCTCCCCACACCGAGTCGGCCATGGGGGCGTGGTCAGTGGGGGCCTGGTGGTCGGGGGGGGTCGCAGAACCGGTTCAGACTTCACTCGCCACTTTACAGGTTCCAAGCAGTCCGATTCGTGGCAAAATGTATCGAGTAGCATTGTTAGAAGGAATGAAACAGCCTCAGGAACGGTTGTAACAACTTGCATCGCTCTCACATTTGACGCGAACCAAACACCTTAGCTCCTCAATGCTGTTCCGGCGAGTTAGACTCAAAGGCTGGTACACGCTACGGGTTATCAACACGCAACCCTCTGGAGAGGCTCTCTGCAACTCCTGCTGCTCACGGAGGTCCGAAAACCAAGAGCGTCGTGAAACCAGCAGATTGCAGAGTTGCACTCTTTATCTTTTTCACACCAATGTGCTTCTTCTGCCTTAGTTGTTCCCGTTTGCCCCCTGCAGCTGTGTAATAGCTGCTATATAAACAGTGACGATGTTTAAGGCTGCGAGGTGGAGATATGGGTTGGTGGTCCGCGCAGAGATCAGTTTCTGTTTATCTGACACTCATCGTCTGCTCATCTGCTGGACTAAGAGGTGGTCAGCAAGATGGCAGCATGACAAAGTGGATCCATGAGTCTCTCTGTAGTTTTGAGTAGTATCCTCTTATACGTGCGATGCTTTTGGATAAAAGGAGTCTTGTGACTCAGTGAGGCTTTCTGGATAAACAAGGGGCATTATTTTATTAAATGAATTCAAACACCGCTGTGAAGAGAATACAGGGGATTGAGTCCCCAGCCAGTGAATGCTGCATTCATAATTCTGCTCGAGTGAGGTGCTGCAGCACACACACACGGAGGGACGCATGTATCTTCCTCGGAGGGTGCTAATTACAGCACACATATCTGTCTAGCACAATATCCACGGGGAGCTAATCATTCCTCACATTACGCATCACATTAAACATGACCAGGAAATTCTTAAGAGAAACATGATGGGTGTTTTGCTGCTGCGGAATTCTGCTACTGCTGCATGAGTTACCATAAGGTATCATGAGGTATATCCGCTTGTTTTGGCACACTCGGTTTGATTGGAACAAGAGATGACGTGTAAATGTACAATTAAAAGGTTATGTTTAATTCAGATGCAGAATTCTAAAAATATTTCACAAGTATCTACCCATCTTAACACTTTATGGGGCATCTTCCAATTATCCAGAAGAAGAAAAAAACAATCCTTAAATCTTAGCCATTGTTCATATTGTCCATCCGTCCTTCGCTATATCCACACACACAGCCAATATTCCCCACTGAATGCCGGTGACATCACC